ATGCCAGAGATCTCATGATAGAATTTTGCAAGATCGACAAATTATTCATTACAAAAACCTTTTCAACAACATAAAAGGCAACTTTACACATGGACCTTGCTAGATGGAATATACAGAAATCAAATCAACTATATCAGTAGAAAGAGGAGATGGAGAAGTTTGATATTATCAGTCGAAACTGAAGAGCTGACTGGAACAGACTATCATTTGCTCACATGTTTAGAGCCAAAATATGACCTTGAGTATATTCCACCTGAATTTAGAGACCATCTGAAGAATAGATTTGATGCATTGAACACCAGTCACCGAAGACTAGAAGAATTGTGGGATGACATCAAGACTATCATACGTGAAGAAAATAAAAAGTCATTAAAAAGAGAGGAAAGGAAGAAAATATCAAAATGTATGTCAGAAGAAACTCTGAAACTTACTCTTGAATGGACAGTAGCTAAAGCAAAAGGAAGAAATGTTGAAATTAAAGAGCTGAGTAGAATATTTCAAAGGGCAGCTTGAGAAGACAAAGTAAAGTATTATAATAAAATGTACAAAGACCAGGGATTAGGAAATCAAAAGGGAAGAACACATTGGACATTTCTCAAGCTAAAAGAACTGAAGGAAAAAAATCAAGCCTTGAATTGTGATACAGAAGGATTCTGTGGGCAAAATGTTGAATGATGCAGGAAGCATCAAAAGAAGATGGACGAAATGCACAGTTACTTTACCAAAAATAATTGGTTGTTGTTCAGTCATTTCAGGTGGTAGCATATGATCAAGAATCAATGGTATTGAAGGAGGACATCCAAGCTGCACTGAAGGAATTGGTGAAAAACAAATCTCCAGAAATTGAGGGAATACACATTGAGATATTTCAACAAAGGGATGCAGCTTAGGAGGTGCTTACTCATCTATGCCAGGAAATTTGGAAGAAAACTACCTAGCCAACCTACTGGAAGAGTTGCACATTTGTGCCCTTCCCAAAGAAAAGTGATCCAACAGAGTGTGGAGATTATTGAACAGTGTCATTAATATCACACACAAGTAAAATTTTACTGAAGATAAGTGAAAACAGAGACATAGTCTCTTAAATGGAAGAAAGGGAAATTTGCATGTCATATATGAAGAGGTATTTGAAAACCAAAGTGGTTAATGAGAGCTCATGTTTGACTGTTGATTGATGGGTTGTCTGGACTAGATATATGTGTAAATGACTGTGATTTTAATTCCTGAGTGGGATGGAATGTGGAAGCAACAGGCCTCTTCAAGACTTGGCGCTAAGCTCCAAATATGAATAAAAGAGTCCCAAAGTGCTGTCCTGTCGGAATCATGTAACTAACTAACTAACTACTTAACTACTTTCTGGTTTGGCTTGGGGATACAACATAAAATCAAACCAGTCCCTAAAGGCTATGAGTTAATAAAAGTCCAGATAAAAATCAGAACTCTTAAGTCTGTGTTATGTATGGGTGGAGGTTTAAATTTTAATTCCTTGCCTTGTGTATGAAAAACGAAGTTAAGAAATTAATTTTCAAAATTAGCCTGGGGCTACTGAAATCTGTAGGGACTGCATGAAAGGTAAACCAACAAACTTCCTTTAAGACCACCTCCATGACCCAGGGCACTTGATACTCTGACTAGAGCTGTTATTGTTGTTGTTAGGTGCTGTTGAATTGGTTCTGACTCCTAATGACCCTGTGTACAACAGAACAAAGCATTGCCTGGTCCTGTGCTATCCTTAATCATTGCTATGTTGGAGCTCATTGTTGCTGACACTGTGTCAATGCATGACATTGAGGGTCTTTTTCTTTTTCACTGACCCTCTACCATGATGTCCTTCTTGAGGGGTTGATCCCTCCTGATAATATGTCTAAAATACAAGAGACAAAATCTTTCCATCTTTGCTTCTAAGGAGGATTCTGGCTGTACATCTTCAAAGATAGATTTATTCTTCTCTCAGTCCATGGTGTATTCAATATTCTTAGCCAGTATAATAATTAAAATACATCCATTCTTCATTGTTCAGCTTCTGCATATATATGAGATGATTGAAAATATCGTGGTTTGAGCAAAGGAACATTAGTTCTCAAAGTGACATGTTTGCTTTTTAACACTTTAAAGAGTCTTTCACAGCAGATTTGCCCAATGTCCATAATACAATGTTATCCATAATAGTGTTATCCATGGTTTGATTTCTTGACTGCTGCTTCTATGGGCATTGACTGTGGATGAAAGTAAAATGAAATAATTGACAGCTTCAATCTTTTCTCCACTTATCATGATGTTGCTTATTTTTGGTCCAGTGTAAGGATTTTTGATTTCTTTATGTTGAGTTGTAATCCGTACTGAAGGCTTCAGTCTTTGACCTTTATCAGGCAGTGCTTCAAATCCTATTCACTTTCAGCAAGCAAGGTTATATCATGTGCATATCACAGAGTGTTAATGAATCTTCCACTAATCCTCATACTGTGTTCTTACATAGTCTAGCTTCTTGGATTATTTGCTCAGCATACAGTTTGGATAAATATGGAGAAAGGATACAACCTTGACACACAGCTTTCCAGATTTTAAATCATGGAGTATCCCCTTGTTCTGTTTGAATGACTACTTCTTCGTCTATGAACAGGTTCCTCTTGAGCACAATTAAGTGTTCTGGAATTCCTATTCTTCACACTGTTATCATAATTTGTTATGATCCACAAAGTCAAATAACTTTGTATGGTCAATAAAACACAGGTAAACCTTTTTCTTGTTTTCTTTGCTCTTAGCCATGTTCCGTCTGACATCAGTAATCATATTCCTCAATCCATGTCCTTTTCTGCACCCATCTTGAGTTTCTGTCAGTTTTTTGTCACTGTTTTTCTGCAATCATTTAAAAATTATTTTTAGCAAAATTTTACTTGTGTGTGATATTAATGATATTAATTAATTTCTACATTCTGTTGGATCATCTTTCTTATAGAATGGATACAAATAATGGAATTCTTCCAATCCATTGACCAGTTCATTGTCCTCCAGAGTTCTTAGCATAGATGAGTAAGTGCCTCCAGAATTACATCCATTGGTTGAAATATCTCAATTAGTATTGTGTCAATTCCTGGAGCCTTGTTTTTGACCAGTCCTTCAGGGCAGCTCACTTTTTCCTTCAATATCATTAGTTGTTAGTCATATACTGCCTTCTAAAGTGTTGAATGTTGACTAGCTCTTTTTGGTACAGTGACTCTGTATATTTCTTCCATCATCTTTTGATGTTTCCTGTGTCATTCAATATTGCAACATTACAACTCGAGGCTTGAATTTTTTCTGTAGTTTTTTCAGCTTGAAAAATGTAGAGTGTATTCTTCCCTTTTGGTTTTCTAATTCCAGATCTTTGCACATTTCATTATGATACTTTGTCTTTTAAATTTGCTTTAGCTAATCTATGCTCAAAAGCAAGTTTCAGAGTCTCTTCTGATATCTGTTTTGGTCTTTTATGTCTTTTTGATGACCTTTTGCTTTCTTCATGAATGCTTTCCTTAATGTCTTGCCACAACTCATCTGCTCTGCAGTTATTAGTGTTCAATCCATCAAAACTATTCTCTGGATGGTCTTTAAATTCAGGTGGCCTGTATACAAGCTCACACTTTGGCTCTCATGGACTTGTTTTAATTTTTTCAGTTCAAGTTGAGCTTGCATATGAGTAATGGATGGTCTGTTCTGAAATTGGCCGCTGGCCTTGTTCTGACTGATGAGCCGTGTTTAAACATTACAAAGCCTGACAGAAGGAATGAGCAGCATAATGGGGAATAATGTGATGGCAGAAGAAACTGAATTAAAACCCATCAAATAACTGCCCATAATGGCCAATCTGAAAGAGATCTTACATATGTATAAAAGCTTCAAATATTTAAAGGAGGAATTAAGTAAGAATAAAGATATTATGAAAAAGAACAGAGTGTATCTAGAATTGAAAATATGATTATTGAATAAAAATTTCAATGGCTAAGTAAACTATCAGCTTAATTATACCTAGATGAGAGAGCTGGAACCCATATCTATAGAATGTATGTTGTGTGTGGTTGAGGAACACTCTGGAAATATTCATTCCTTTACCTTTTCTACCTCATCACCCTCCTTTGGCTGTTTACCTCCATCATTTTCTGTTGTCTGCAGTAAGGAGATAAGAAGGAAGAGTTTTTGTTTAACATTACTCTGTTCATGTGAGTGAAAATAGACTATAGATTATTGAATCTTTTATAATAGAAGCAATGAATAAATATATTGTAAAATACTGTACTTATTAATAATTGTAATGCAACACACTGCTATGGAGCTGGATCTGACTCATAGTGACCCCTCCTTGGGTTTCTGAGTCGGTATCTCTACGGAAGTAAATTGCCCAACCTTCCTTCTGAGGAGTGGCTGGGTGGGTTTGCACTGCCAGCCTTCTGGTTAGCAATCAAAAGCCTTAGGCACTACACCACCAGAGCTCCTATTAATAATTGTAGGAAGTAATTTATCTGGCTGTAACCTAGGAGTAAGTACACAAAAATGAGAATTTCTGTAGTAATTTACATTGTATGTAAATTCATCTGAGAGCAGAGAAAAATGCCAGGATTCTAATCTTTTTGAGTTTTGAATTTAAAATGTGTTCCTCAAAAATTGCTATTTCAGTTAAAAGATATAACTTGAGTTTAAAATATGTAGGGTAGAGATTAAGGAGCTCTGGTGGTATGTGCTTAAGGCATTTGGCTGTTAGCCAAAAGGTTGGTGGTTCAAACCTACCAGCTGCTCTGGGGAAGAAAGATGAGACAATCTCCCTCTGTAAAGATTTTCAGCCCAATGGGGGTCACTATGAGTCAGAATCAATTTGATAGCAGTGAGTTTGTTCGATTTCCAGTAGAGATTGATTTTACTTTTTGTTTAATCTTTTATTAAATAAGTGGTAAATTAGTAGCTTCAGGTAAATATTTTCTCCTGTTTAGAAATTTATTGTTCATTTGAAAACTTTTATTAATGTTTCTTAGTTTCTGCATCAGAGATTTCCCAAGAAGCTGATGACATGGCAATGGAAAAAGAGAAATATGTTGATGAACTGAGAAAAGCATTGGTGTTGGGAGCAGGACCAGCTGATGCATACAAGTTTAATTTTTCTGAAGATTCTGGTCATTTCTCCTTTGAGAAAAACCTGAAAAATGTTTTAGTAAGTAAACCTTTCCATAAAGTTACAAGTGGTAAGAAGAGTTAGTTGAAGAATTATGTTTAATATGTAAGCAATCAGCATATTAGTTCCAGAATATCCCAAAATAAAAGTTAAAAAAACATTTGGTTTCTAAGTTGGAAGTTGTTGTTGTTGTGTGCCGTCGAGTTGGACCTGACTCATAGCGAACCCTCCTTGGGTTTCCGAGGCAGTATTCTAGGGAAGTAGATTGCCCCATCTTCCTTCTGAGGAGTGGCTGGTGGGTTAGCAGTCAAGTGCCTTAGGTTAGCAGTCAAGTGCCTTAGGTTAGCAGTCAAGTGCCTTCTGGTTAGCAGTCAAGTGCCTTAGGCACTGCACTACCAGAGCTCCTCAAAATTAAAGTTCATCAAGTGGTTTATATCAATAAATTGTGAAAAATGATTATTGGAAAATGTATTTAGATTTTAAGACTTTAAAAGTATTCTAAGTATTATAGAGATAATTATGTGAGTGAGCAGTTTTGAAAATGGTCAAAAGTATAGAGCCTATTGAAATAAGTTTGGGGATAATGATTTTCAGAAAGAAAATATGTATTTACCTTTGAATATTTAATAATTATGACTTATGTTCTTGTTTCTTAGAATGCATTTGAAATTACAAAATGATATTAAAATTTAAGTGTAATAAAACATTATAACTAACTAGGAAAGCAAGATATTATATTTATGTTTTAGGACTTAGAAATCTAAAAATAGGAAGAAATCACTTTTAGTCCATACATTCCATAGCTTGTTTGCTTTGCATAGAAGGATATCTACTCATCCTGGTCAGTTCCTGTACCAATTCAGGCCAAGGTGGGTGGTTTATTTATTAAAACCCTTATATTTATTATCTGTATATTTTACCTAACTCAATCGGTTAATTAGATACCAAATTTGACTTTGCCAGTGGTTTATCAATCAGATACGAGACTTATAATAGAAGAAAGGTAAGGGAAGTCTCTACCACATTAGATTTAGACACAGTTATGGACAGTTTGTCTTGGAGCTTAGTTGAGTTGAAATAATTCACTACAATAACCCTCTATTTCAGAATGATTGAAAGGATATTACAAATCAGAGACATATTTGAACAAAAAAATTAGAATTATTATTTTAAATATATTTTACCATATAGAGAAGAATACGAAAAGACTGGTGTCAGTAGTTATTTCTATTTAGAAGATACATATGTTGTCTAATTGGGTATAAATTTGTGTAAACTTCAATATGGTAAGGTTCTTAAAATGATTGTTGTTGTTGTTGTTATGTGCCGTCGAGTCAGCCCTGACTCATAGCGACCCCTCCTTGGGTTTCCGAGGCAGTATCACTACGGAAGTAGGATTGCCCAACCTTCCTTCCGGGGAGTGGCTGGTGGGTTTGAACCGCCAGCCTGCTGGTTAGCAGTCAAGTGCCTTAGCATTAAGTAGGTTAAATAAGAAGATTTGAACTGTCTGCTAAAATTTTGTTATTTATAGCAAATATTCTCTCCTGTGGCCCAAGTCAGTGAAATGATACTATACATTGCATTACTATTTATTCTAATATTTTGAAATAGATTATTGTCAAATTGGGACTAATGCCATTTCCCCTTCAACAAACATTTATATGTAATGACTACCATTCTTTAGTGCAGCCAGTTCTCGGTTTTTGTCTGTTTTGTATACACTGGTGCATAACAAGTTCCAAATTTATGAGGTACATTTTGGAAACCTGAAAGGCTTATGCTGTCTTTGATGTGGTGAAAGGGGAGGCTTCATACACTGGGCATGAATTGAGTACTTGCTGGCAGTACATCTTGATTTGTTGCTTCTGTGAAGAAAGTCCTAATGACTCATGTCATTCTACAATTGACTTGATATATATTGGCATTAATGACTGCTTACCACCCTAAAACTGATCAGCTTAATCAGAGCCAAGCCCTTTTCACCAGGTTTTCTCAAGAATTACAAACAGAATAAAGGGTTCTAAGTAATGCAGGATGTGTTGGTTTCCTGAAAGATGCATTTAAAGCACTTCACTGTAGTCCTGATATCTGTTTCTGTACTTTATTCATTTATTTATTTGTTTATGAGAAAATGAAAGGCTACTCTCAGAACTGTTTGACAAGAAAGTGTTTATTCATGGCTTGAATATGGTATAAATGAGGCAAAACTCAGTTTAAGGTGTGGTCGTCAGCATTATTGATGCAGCTGAAAAATCACAAACTACCATGGGAATCTTCCAGTGCTGGAAGATGTACTACTGGAAACTAAATTTAAGAGTGATAGTATCTTGTCAGTTCATCTGCTGGCAAAACTATAAACAATTAAAAACATACCAAACACCTTTTAAGGCTAATTACGGTTGGATGACCTGAAAATTAAAAAGGGTGTTTGTAATCCTGTCCTTGATGACTCTAACATCTGATTGTTGCCAAAAAGAACCTGGTAAACTTAGAAGGAAGCAAATGAATGAACATGGATTCAACTAAAAAAGTTGTAGTGAATTCTGTTGTTTGTTGACATACTTTCTCATAGAAAAGTGAATTACATGAGTTCTAAGTTCATTTGCTACTAGATTCATACTTCTTGAGAATCAAAATGTTTAGAGATTTGTTGTCATCAGTTCAATAAGTTTTTTGTCTCATTCTGTGTTGGAGATCACTGCACAATTTTAATCTTTTGAATATTCAAACAAGAATTGCTTGAAATTTACATTTGTACCAAATTTTTTCTTTTTAGAAGTAACCAATAATTTTTCTATTCTAAAGGACAATATTTTTGAAATTTCTTTTTTTTGTTTGTTTTCTTCTGAGTAAAAGAAATGTTACTTTTCAATTCGGTGAACAATTTAAAATATATAACTTTGTATGTTCATATTTCTGTACATTTTTTGAGAGGGAGTGTGTGGCTTCATAGCTTTCATGAGATTGCTTTTGTAGTCATGACCTTCAAAATTTCGAGAAACATTCACATTTTAAGTTGGCTTTTCTTTATAAAAATATAAAATATTTATTTTTATTTAAACTTAAAAGCTCATGGGAATCAGTGTTGAAAGCACAGTGAGACACTACCTTCTTTTCTCTGTCCAGTATGACCCCGTGTGACTCTTCCCACTTCGGCACCAGTGTGCTCTTCAGTTGGTAGTAGATTGTTCTGGCTGCAAGCATACTGTGTTGCCTACATTAGGAGGGCATTAGCTCTTCACTATAAGTACTGTTACCATTTGGGAGATCACTCATACATTGTGTTATCACCTTTTTCCCTCTGGCTTTCATAATTTATACTGATTTTTCAGAATATATTTTGTCATGTCAATAATATATTGTGTTAGGCTTGGTTCCCTAGAGAAGCAAAACTAGTAAAACTTTATATATATGTGTATATATATATATATATATATATATATACACACATACATACATACACACACACACTTATACACAGAGAGAGAGAGAGAGAGAAATTTATCTTAGGAAATGGCTCACACACTTACAGAAGCTGGCAAGTTCTAAGTTCCTGGATCAAACGTCTAACTGGAAGCTTTTCCTGACTCACACAGCTGCAGGGGCTGACAAGCTCAAGGTTAGCAGGCAGTATACTGGCTGTTGACTTCATTGGATAATGAATCCAAGATCACCAGGCTGAATGGTGGATTGTTCACTCATGGACAGTTATAGGCAGCACAACAGGCTCCAGATCCACAGAAGAGTCTCTTATTTTCCCAGGATGTCCATCTATACATTGGAAGCAGGTCACACCCCTAGAGAAACCTCTTTCAATGGGTTGGCTGCTCAAAACATATGCATCCGATCTCATCATGGGAACAACCAAATCACAACTGCTTAAACCACTCCAAATCGTTGTCCAGCCAAGTTGACACACAACCCCAACTATCACATATATCTTCATTAATGTCTTTATCTTTAAAATCTTGCTGTGTTTCTTCAGGAAAAAAAAAAAAAATCCGTTGATGAGACACCAAAAAAAAAAAAAAATGACCTTATAGTCACAGAGTAGAACTGCCCCATAGGGTTTCCAAGGCTGTAAATTTTAGGAAGTGACATATGATCAAGAACCATAGATATTGAAGAAGAAGGCAAAGCTGCACTGAAGGAATTGGAAAAAAAAAAAAAAAAAGACCTAAAAATTTTTTATAAGAATAACCTTGGGTTAATCATTTAACTTGCTCGTGTCTCTCTTTTCTCATGTATAAAAACTTTAAAGTGATTTCTTAAATTCATTACAATTCTAACATACTATAGTTTTATGTTTCTAAAAATATTCTTAATGAAGAATGAAGCAAGATTAAACAAAATAAAAGACTTTAATATAACAAAACAACAAACCAGAACTGGGTATAGGGTCTCTATTGGAATTCAAGCAAAGCCTACATCTATTCCATTTCTGCTTTTCACTCTACACCCCGCAGGTATTGACTTAAGAACAATTTAGGCTGAAAATTTGGTGGCTTGAATAGCACAGAGTTTTGTTTTTCTTGGATGTGAAAATAAAAGTAGGCAGTCCTGGGTTAATATGATAGCTTTATGATATTGGAGACCCAGACTACTTTGTTCATGTTGCTTTGCCAAGTTTAACAGATAGATTTTATCTTACAGTCCAGGATGGCTACTCTAGCTATCACTATTACGTTCACCTTCTAGGCTGCAGAATAAGTAGAAAAAAAAAGTATAGAACATTTCCCATCTTTTTAAAGACATTACCCCAAAATTGCATACATTTAATTTTGCTCAAATCCTATTGTCTAGAACTTACTCACATGGCTACATCTAGCTGCAAAGGAATCTGTGAAATATGTTTTTCAACTGAATTCTGTGGCCAGAAATTTCCATTACTATGTAAAAACAGGAGTAGATTTTTAAGGACAACTAGAAATCTTTTCATGTTGACGTTCAGGAAAGATAAGCATTTTTTTATTCAACAAGTTTCACTTTTGGTTATGCAAGGGTATTTCTCTAGTATTTTCATTATAGTAAGTGTTTCG